AAAAAATCACAATGTGAAGTGTGAGAGAAAAAGGTACAATAAAATATATTCTCAGAAATTACAATATTCAGGCCAGGTGTGGTGGTGAACAGCTCAAATCCTAGTGATTTAGGAGGCTGACGTAGGAAGATCACAAGTCAAAGCCAGCCTTAGAACTTGGCTAGGTCCTAAGCAACTTAGCGAGAACCTGTCTCTAAAAAATAAAGAGCTAAGGATGTTGCTCAGTGGTTTGGCACTACCATGTTCAATCCCTGGTATCCAAAAACAAAAACAAAAAACTAGAGTATTCAGATGGGCACAGTGGCTCAAATCACAGGGATTTAGGAAGCTGAGGTGGGAGGATAACATGTCGCAGTCTATGCAGGTCAACATAGCAAGAACCTGCTTCAAAATGAAAAAAAGATTGGAGAATGTAGCTCAGTAGTAGATTGTCCCTGTATTCAATCCCTACTACAGAAAAAAAAGAAGAAATCAGTGTTCACAGCACCCTGGTATACCAGGGTGGAAGGCCACCCAGGCCAAGAGAAATCCTTTCAGAGAGGACCAAGACCCATATGCTGACCACAGGCTGCTCTCCAGGCTCAGGTCTGCAGAGAACTGAGGCTGAAGGGGTTTTAAACAGCATGACCATGTGTTAAAGCAGCAGCCCCAGCTCCACTATCCACAGGCCCTGGAGGAGCTGAGCTCTTGCTGTTTCTTGTTTTCTTTCCAGCTATTTCCTCATGGAACTCCATTAAAACTCAAGCTCAACACAAGCTAAGAGAGACCCTCTGAGTACACTGAGCAACTAAACTACTGTCTCCAAAAATACTCTGGAAAGTCACTACACACAATGGCTACAGTCTTCAACAAACAAGGGCAAACTCTGAATAGAGGGAAAAACTGATTTCAGAGGAGAAACGATTATAATATTCAAATACCCACTTTGCAAAAGCAACAAAATAAGGAATACACATAAAGAGCAAAGTACATCTCACCAATGGGGAAAAAATGCTTGAATTAATTTTTGAGAAAACATGGACACTAGACTCACTAATAAGACTTAAAACCAACTGCCTGAATCTTTTAAGATGTACGACCTACAACAGGTCAAAACACCTGATGAACAACTGAGAGACTCACATGGACATGCGGTGAAATCCAGTGACAGGAGGAGTCACCGGCAATCGCCTGACAGTGAGTGACAGCTGGAGCACACAGAAGAGCTGTCGTGGTATCTAGCTCAACAGCACACCCACCACAGGTACCTCTAGGGCACTTAGCCAACAGCAGCCCAGCACACATCCTTCTCAACATCACAGGGAAGTATCCATGACCAGCCACCTTCAGCCACGACAGGCGTTAGTGCAGAAGGCTACCAAATCCCAACATGGCACCAGGAACACTGGAATTACCATGGCGTTAGTAACAGAAACACAGCTGGGTGACCTCCAGATATCTGCAGGTCAAATCCCAAAGTTCTAAACAACACATGGGTCAAGGGTGTCTCAGGATCAGTCTGAATATTTCAAAGGAAAAGAACTGAAACTGCATCTTAGGAAACTTTGTGGAACAGAGCACAGGCAGGGCTTAGGGAGAATTAGAGGTGCTGAAGGCTTACATTACAAAAGAATAAAAATCAACCCTTCATCCTTCCACTTCAGGAACTAAAGAACAAACAGAAAGGAGAACCTACATCTGATGCTAGCATATAATTAAAGACATCAATGAAACTGTGATAGGAAATCAATAGAGAATCAACTCAAAAGCAAGCTCTTCAGGGCTGAGGCTGTAGCTCAAAGGCAGAGCACTTGCCTAGCATGTGTGAGGCACTGGGTTCAATCCTTAGCACAGCATAAAAAACTAAACAAATAAAAGTATGGGAACAGGTGCATGGAGTACTGTATATATGGCATATGTTAAGGGCGCCTGAGAGGCAGCCTGCTTACTCTGTAGGCACAGCACCCTGAGCATGAGGTCACATGTTGTGGTCCCAGTACTGCTCTATGGCCACTCCTTAATTGGTTGCTACAAGGACAGTTGGCCAGAAATTGTATTGGTGGCTGCCTAAAATCTGCTTAACTACTGGCCACGTATATATACATGGTAACTGCACCATAAAATCAGACCTGCTTCCTGTGACATCTCTGGAGGTCTTGATTCATTACTCCGCAGCCACACTCTCCTCTACCTATTCTATGGACCTCCTCACTAGATGAGAGAGAGCCCATGCATAAAGGCATGCTATCCATCTATAACTATTAAAAAATGAAAAATAAAAAGCAGGTTTTTTTTGTGGACATGCTTGTAACAGATATAGCACAACTAAAAAAACAGAAACAAAACTTACTCAGTAGAAATGAAAGACACCATTATTCAGGGAGAGTAAAAGAACCATAAAGGAATATTATGAATAACTGTCGGACACAATTTGAGAATTCAGATGAACTGGACCAACTCCAACAGGAAAACAATCTACCATAACTCACACAAAAAGAGAAATACACAACATGAACAAGTTAATGAAGTGATAATAACTGTCATCAGAGGAAAGGCATGGCCCAGGGGTGTCATGGTGGATTCTGCACCACACTAAGGAGGCAATGAAAACTACCCTTAATCCCCTCTAAGAGGAAGCAGGTAACACTTCCAACTCATTCCTCAAGGTGTAGCCTATATGACATATTGCAATGTTAACAGTTTCTGGCAGCCAAGCCAGGGAACCTGCGTGGACCACTGATGGCTGGATTCAGCACCCTGGCAAAAATATAACTAAGCAATAATGAAAAAAGGAGAAATGAATTGCATGCAATTTTATTAAATCGTGGAGAAAGAAGCAGCTCAATTGATTCTCTAGCTTCATTTCTTAAATTCTATGAAATCCAAGACCAGGATGTCTTTGTTGAGGAAATTCAGAAAACTATTTCTACAAGTGGAAATAGTAGACAAATATCTAAGAGTAGCCAAAATGTCCAGGAGTCTCCAACACCTTGTAGAGAATACCATCAGGTAATATTATAGATTGAAGGTCTATTTCAACCCCAAGATTCACAAGGTGAAAGGTGAACACCCATTGGGTGGCATTAGGAGGGGGCATTTGGAATCAGATAAGATCATGAAAGATGCTCATGAATTATAATAATCTCACGAAAACCTGTTTTATTCAGCCAACAGAGATGACATTTAATAACAATTTCCATGACACTTACATCAATTCATAAACAAATGACCATACTTTGATATTTGTGGCAACTGCCATATTTGTCCCATGAAATTCAGTAGTAATCTTCCAAGTTCAGGTAACAGGAAGCAAAGAGAAGTTATCCACTGTGACAAGTTCTTCATTATACAAGGGAACTAATATTCTCATGAATCCACAGAGTATAAATTTACCTACCACACCTTTTGTGAAAATGAAACATTTTCTACAGCAACAATGACACACGGATTTTTCATTTTCTAAAGTAGCATTCTTTTATTTCTTTAGATGTCAATGAACCTTTTTTTAATTTATTTATATGCAGTGTTGAGAAACCAAGTGCTTCACACATGCTAGGCAAGCACTCTGCCACTAAGTCACAACCCCAGCCACTAAAGTAGCATTCATGAACCTACCACATGTAACTCCATTTGAAATCAAATTAAAAAAAAAAAAAAGTGAGGTCTCAGAAATGTTCTACATGTTCTAAACAAATCAGAAAGGTAACTTAAGAATTTTTATCATATACCAAAAAAAATCTGTTTTCTTTTTAAATTTACTTCTTTTTTACCTCTTTAAAAATATTCTACCTTGCTCAGCTCTAAATAAATACATTCACATTTAAGGAAATCTGGCTGTCATATAAGGGGGCAGATCATTTCAAAGTGATAAATAAAGGGCTTGTGCTGAGGGAGCAGACATGTCAGGCTCAAGGAGCAGGTAAGGTCCCTGTGAGCTGGGCATCCTCCTACCTGGTCCTGCTCACTGAAACACTCCATGATCACCCTCCCAGGAGACCCAGACCATGACTCCAGGCTTTTTAGGTTTGCACAGCACTGCACTGGGGTGGGTGGTCCTATGCTCTGGGAGAATTTTCCTCCTTCACAACTATGAGAGAATGCAAGGCAAGAATCACTGCTGACCTGGCCCCTCAGCACCAGCATCTACAGGCTAACTGTCCACTAATATCAGAGAAATGGGAACAGGGATGACAATCCCAAGATGACAGGTCTCTAGATGAGGCCTATTCCAGGAGATTCCTCAGCCCCAGGACCTCCAGCTGCTCCCCTGAGAGGCTGCATCCCACACCTCAGGCTGTGCTGACCCAGGGCCTGAAATTGCCTACCCTTTGCAGGACACTGGGCAGCCTCCACAGGCTGCGACAAGGTGGAAGCCACAGGAAAGGAAGGTGGCTGAGGACACAGGACCCAGGAGGGTCCAATGGAAACCTCTGCACAAGTTATTGTGATAAGGCGTCTATGCCTAGGGAAGGTAAAGGAAGAGAGGCACAGAGTTTTAACAGTGGAGTTCCAGGTAACTCTTCTCTGCTCTCACTACATGGCAAATTCAGAAACAGAAACAAATCTACGAGGCTGTGCCCACTGAATGCAGTATAAGGGGCAAAGAGGGGAGAATTCTGGGAACTTGAGTGGGGAGTCAAAGTCTGAAAATGTGAAGAGAGCTCGAATTTAAAGGATCTAATGAGCGCCCTAACAACGGCTAGGTGGGGGAAAACCAGATGACTCTTCAGAAGAAGGAGGGACATGGACCCCCTCAGACCAGAATCCTCCACATAGGAAGGAGCCCCACACCTGAGGCAGGATCCCTGAGGCCCTCTGCCTTCACTGCACACTGAGGGCCTAGGGCTGGGGTCCAGATGTGCAGAGAGGGTTCTGTTACCTGCACCAGCCCACACCATGGCTCAGGTCTGGGTTGGCCGAACTCTGGAACTGACAGTAGGAGGCCAGAGACCAGCCACAGCTGGTTCCCACCAGTTCTAACCATCCCACTTCCCTGAGCAGTCCTGGCCCCACACACTCACCATTTCCTGCCTTCTGGGGAGTCCTGACTTCCTTCCTGTGGACCTCATAGCACCTGCAGGTCACAGGGAGACAGACCTGAGCCAGAGCCACTTGGGCCTCACACAGCAGAGAAGACACAGTCCTGGAGATGGATTCTGAGCTGCACAAGGTGAGAGAGAAAGTCCTGTTAGACTGTGGAAGGCCACCCCCTCCCACCAGCTGCCTCCTCACTGGTCAGGACTCCACAAGACCCTTCTCTCACCCCAGCCACATATGTACACCCTGGGACTCTGAGTGACAGGAGATATATCAGACTCTTGGACAAATGAGGCCAGAAGGACAGGTAGTACGCAAAAGCCCTTTTCAGGCAAGACTTTCTCCCTGCAAGGGACCTGCCCCACCAGGGGGACATTTCTCCTCAGGTACTTAAGCCCTTTCTCAAGCAGGCCCTGTTGTCTTCCTGTTCCTCTGGGCACAGAGTCACAAGCATTTGTGAGAAATTACATATTTGGTGTCCAAGGCTGCCAACCCTGAGCTCAGAGAAGGTGGGTGCCGGGTCACAATAGACTGGAAAGGAGGGATACAGGCATCCATCTTGGGGAAGAGGTCGGGGCTGTATGCCAAGGCCTCCTCACACTTTAACTCTCAGTCAACTCATTTCCAGCCAAGAAAATGAAAAGACAACAAAGGAATATAGTCATTAAATACATGAAAACCTAATTATATGGCAATAAAAATAATTTAAAAGGAAAAGCAATCACATGAACTAGGTGAGGAAAGGCGCCTGCTTCATCCGCAGTTCAATGAAAACCCTCTTGCAGAGGTATATACATATTTCCAAGCTTACACAACTTATTTGGGCGCCAGACTTTGACTGCTGAAATGTACCACAGAGGGGTTGGAACTCCATGGCCAGGAGGTCCACCTAAGGATTTACCTCTGGGAGCCCAACATGTCCCCATCCTATAGGTTTTCTTATGTGAGAAGATAAAAAAATTCCAAAGGAAGAAAGTGATAAACTCACATCTATTAAAAAAGAGACTCCTCCATCAAACTGCAATAGGGTCAAAGAAGGCTGCCCTCCCTCAGAGGAAATGTCTGTACTCTTTACAAAAAAATAAAATAAAAAGAATTCATGTATAGGGTATGTTAAGACAAAACAAAAAATAACTTCACAAATGAATTAAACATGAGAAAATGACTGAACACCTTTTCAATGAATATGGGTTCTCTGAGCTCAGGGTTGGCTGCCTTGGACACCAGATATGTAATTTCTCACAAATGCTTGTGACTCTGTGCCCAGAGGAACATGGAAATACAGAGAAAAACGTTCTCATAAATGGTATCAGCAAAAAGCAATATATAGCCACATGGAAGTAAACAAGGATAGATAGTATAAGGGATGAATACACATGTGTATATACACTGCACTGAAATTTTCTAGTAATTTGAATTAATCCACAATCTATAACCTAACAATGATTTCCCAACATGTACAAAACTTATGAAGTGTGGGCACTTGAGGACCAAATTTTAAAAGAGAATGAAATGGTCAAGAACGTAAAATTAAAAAATTAAACTAGAAACAAGTGGTGTTCCTGAAGCAGGAATAGGGAAGGGAACCAGGAGGCCTACAGATAGTAATATGAGTCTAAGCAACTGAGGCAGAGGAACCAACAATTCACATTACAGCACCACAGTGATAGAGTACTAATTGTAACATTTGAAGAGTTATGGAAAATAATAATCCTACAAAACAGCCCTCAAAGAAAAGTGGAGACACAAGGCAGCTCGGTAGGAGTGAGGGGAAACTAGCCCACCATTAACCTTCCAGTAAATCCTTTCCTGATAACATGGGCCCCAAAGGAAGGAGAGAAATACTGAATCTCTGGGAGACAATAATTCCAGAAAAAGAAATACCCATCCCTCACAATCTGGACTCCTCTCTTAGTAGCAATGAGTCTCAACCTTTTACAGCTGCCCTCCTGAGTTTTCACCTACATAACTACCCCTGACTGTCCAAACAGCACACTCACAAGTTCCAATGGTGAAATCAGCACAACTGTACCCTATAAAACCAAAATCCCCTCTGTAACTGATGGCCATTCACATATTCAGAAAATAAGTCCCCAGGGGCCTGAGGTCCTGAAGAGGAATAAGCAGCTTCCTGAATCTTTGAGGTCTGCACCCCTCATTTGTGCTTTCAACATTAAGTTATTGAAAACTCAAACAAGAAGCACCAACTAAAATTCTGCCTCCTCACAGATGGCTCAAGTACAAGGAATGACAGAAAAAAAACGGAACTGTGCTCCCCTCCAGGCACAGGTAGGGGAGAGCAGGGAGAGGCAGCCTGACCAGGGCCCATTCACGTCTCTTTGGGCGGGTTATACAGGTGTTTAGATTCCCACTAAACTGAGCATTAAAAAAATTATTTCAAGAACTCTCTTCTTCTTTACATCACATTACTGTATCCAATTAAACGTTAACCAATAACATAAAATCAAGGAATTCAATCAAGGAATGAGCTTCTTACATACTTGGGGACAAACTGGAATTTCTTGACAGCGAGATGTGATAAAGGAAACAACAAGCACCTGCGCAGGGAAGCAGCCTGTCACCCCCAGTTCTCCAGGAACCCCGCTTGGTGGCTAAACACATCCCCAAGCCCAGGGACACTCTCACAGCGGATGCAGCCCAGGTGGCTCCCTAGGAATGAGGGAACCTGAGCAGCTGGACATTTGGTTCTGGAGGGTTACTGTGCTCTTCTCTCCCCAGCGGAGAATGTTCCCTCCTGTGGGACCCTGGTTCTCACTCTCACCCAAGCACCCACCAGGAGGCACATGAGGGTCCTGGCCACTGAGGCCACGCTCTGCAGCTCACCGGGGACCCGCTGGCCAGCACTCCCCGCGGGACCAGGGGAAAGAACCCAGGGCCACCTGCCAGCGCGGACAATGCCATTATCCGCAGCGAACCCCGGGGACCCGTTCCCAGTCCGTCCCGAGGGACCAAGGGTCCGGGGTCCAGGGCCATCAGAGAGGGCTCGTTAACACGCTCTGCAGCTGACCGGGAACCCTCCTCCCAGCCCACCCCGCGGGACCAGTGGACAGGCCCCAGGGCCACCCGCCGGCCGAGACTCGACCCGCTCCGACGCTCACCCGCCCGCCGGGTCCCGCCAGCCCTGGCCGCACACTCTCCGTTTGGGCCTCCGGGGTCACCCGCCGTCCTCACGAAGGAACTTCGGCCACCAGAGCTCGTGGGGCTCTCTGGCTACGCAGAGTCGCCCAGAATCCGTGACCAAGACCCGCGACCTGAGGAAGAAAGACCAGGGCGGCCCAGCAAGGAAAGGAGTCTGCGGAAGCCCGCCCCTGCCCCGGCTGCGTGCCTGATTGGATAGCGCCGCCTAATAAACAGCCTTCAGGCTCCGCCCCCGCCTGAGGGACAGCTGAAGTAACCAATCCCTGATGAAATAGGCCCAGCCCTTTTTCAGGCAGCACCTCCTCCCGGGCTGGGGCCGGACCCGCAGGTAACCTGGGGAGGTAGGTGTATAGAATTCCGTGCTGTGCACAGGGAGCCACAGAGGAGCATGTTAAGACTTTAAGTCACATGACCTTCCTGCCCTGGGTTCAGGGTGGGCCTGAGCCATGGAAAGGAGGCCGGTTCAACTGAAATGAAGTGCTCAGTAAGTACCTTTGACTTTTCTGAAGGCCACATGAAAACGTTCAAAGAAACAGGTGAAACAACCGGCACAGCTCAGCCATACAGTACTTTTCTGGCAAATTGAGGCCCTGGGTTCCAGCCCAGCAAAAACAAGATGATACAAAAGACAAGAGAGAAAGTCACAGGTGAGGTTGATTGTGATGTCTTTAATGCAGTATATGTAAAATATCATTGTTTTACTCTGCAAACAGTATAATGAGGTGTCACTATTAATTAACTACTTGTCTTTATGATACTGTAGTAGCACCCCCTTTCTCCACAGAAAAGTCTTAACTGGGCCTTTCCAGAAATCTTCACCATGGCTGATTTTAGTACTGTGAGCAAAAGAGTCTCTGCAAGAGTCCAATGTAGATAAACTTCCTATTTTCGTGTTGCCCTAATTTACTTGGCCACTGGCCCAGAAGATACCAGCACTCCAGGTGCTAGACACCCCCTTACTAGTTTTTCACAAACAACCAGTATAGTAGTTTGTAGAAATGTGCCTCTGGCCTTGAGCTGGGCTTCACAGAGATGTTTACATTTCTAAGATAAGAAACTTAATAGTTGGGTTCCATGGTAACAGCTGACAGGAGGAGGAAAGAAAGGAGAGAAGAAGCTTCCCCCTTCTCAGGTATTGTCCTTGAAAGGTTAACTTGCCTAGAACAGTGAAAGAAAAAGCTGCTTTTATGTGAACTTCTGCAGACTGTGAGCTTCTGAGCCCCTCTCCTTCCATGCTTGGGTATTAAACTCTGAAACTTCCTGAACTCAGGGTTCACGGGGATTGATTGATTACAGCAAAATCTGTGCCCTCTGAACCTGGCTGCAGCCAAATAAAACTGTTTCCTGCTATCTTTGGTGCCTTGCCTCATCTGTCCCCTACAACAAGGTAACTCCCAGTGGATGTGTTGTTGAACCCTGGCCTCCCATCTGCACTAGGTCTATGTGTCAGGCTGCTAATCACTCCACAACTTACCAGCTCATGAGTGGGCTGGTCAGCAATCTTGGTGCAGTGGGGCCCACTCAGACCTCTGTTCTAGGTGTTGACCAGGCAGCTCTGCTTCTGGGGGAGAACTGGCTGTTGAGGGGGCACCTTGGTTCTCCTCCCCATGGTATCTCCTTCAGCAACTTAGTCTTTGTGCTTATGGAGATGGAGAGATATTGTAAGAAGACAAGCACGTGGACCTTTTTTTTTTTTTTTTTTGGTGGTGCTGGGGATTGAACCCAGGGTGTTATAACAAGCCCTCTACCAACTGAGCTATATCCCCAGCTCGAATGGGGATATAGCTCAGATCCAAGATGCACAATGATACACTGTCATATTTGTTGTATTTTATTGGATGCAATAAATAAGGAAAATGTGATCTTAAGAGTGTTGAACTTTTTGTGCTTGAATATTAGCTACCTTTCCATTTATTTAACTCTTCTTTGATTACTTTCAACTTTCTGTTTTAACACTCTGTTGTAAAATTTATTTCTATGTATTTTTT